GGCTGTTGGAAGCAGTCGGGGAGGTGGTTTGCTGGACGAGTATAAGGAGGAGACTGGAGCAGCAACTCCATAAGGGGAAATGATGATTGCCAATTTAACACCTTGCCTTGATGCCCTTCTTTTCAACCTCGCACTCAAACGCTTATCAGCTATTTTCTTGCAGTCTTGGCAGAAGCTCAGGGGACCCTATTTTACTGATGTTTTGATATATCAATGAAAAAGTTAGGCGGCTTGTTCGATGTGGGTGGAATTCTCTGTCCTCCAATTTCATCAACTTCATTTCTATCTTTAAGAAATGTTTGATAGATGAAATATATACAAAATATATCTAAGTATGAAGCATAATAATAAAAGGAACATTTATAAACCACCCAATTGAATATTTCCATTTCTGTTGATCCGCGTGAACTCCTCCCCAGTCGCACCCCTGCCCACCCCCAGAGGTAACTACTGCCCTGGATTTTGTGTTTATCATTCCCTTACTTTCTAGGAGTTTTATCACCCGTGTGTGTCCCTAAACATTATAGTATTTAGGTTTGCTTGCTTTTTAAAAATGGTTTTGTTCAGGGGCGGGCCTGGTTGCATAGTGGTTAAGTTCGCCTGCGCTCTGCTTTGGCAGCCTGGGGTTCACAAGTTTGGACCCCTGGCGCAGACCTAGCACCATGCGTCAAGCCTTGCTGTGGACGCATCTCACATACAAAATAGAGGAAGATTGGTACAGATGTTAGCTCAGTGACAATCTTCTTCACTAAAAAAAAAAAAAATTGGTTTTGTTCAGTATAGAGTCGGCTGTGGCTTACTTTGTCCACTCCACACTGTATTTCTAAGACTCATCTAAATTGCTCCGTGTAGCTGTACTTCATTTTCACAGTTGTTTATTAGTTCATTCAATAAACATTGATTGGGCCCCTATAATATTCCATTAGGTGAATAGATCACAATTTATTTGTTAAGCTTCTTATTGATGGGTGTTTGGGTTGTTTTCCGTTTTTCCTCTTTTTTCTTTTATGAATAATGCTGCTGGGAATATGCTTTTACACGGCTCCTGGGACACGTGGGCAAGAATTTCTCAAGAGCATGGGTTTTCCAATCGGGATTCATGATCTTTAGTGGGCTGTGAAATCAACTTAATAAATTCAACCAGGATTTTTAGCAAAATGAAACAGAGCAGTAACTACCTTAGGGCATTTCCTGTAGAAATGGTTAAGTATTGCTTCAGGAACCCTGTTTTGGCTCTGTTCATGTGCCCTGGGCTGTGATGTAAAGAGTTTTTCTTATTAAGGTTCTTAGAAAAGTTTGGAAGCCCTTGCTCCAGGTGGTGCTTCTTGAACTATCTGTGGGTGAACTGAAATTCTGTGAGATTTCCAATCTGTCACAGATCGACAGCTTGGTAAAATACCATAAAAATGAGTTACTTCAAAAATGAAATTTTTAAAAATCCAAAGACAAACAAAATATAAACCTCAATTTTTAATTATTATATTTATCAGATATGAATTATATTCAATAAATGTAGTGTGGCAATTATTCACAATAGACGAAAGGTGGAAACAACTCAAGTGCCCATCGATGGCTGAATGGGTAAACAAAATATGGCGTATACATATAGTGCAATCTTATTCAACCTTAAAAAGGAAAGAAATTCTGACACACGCTATAACGTGGATGAACCTTGAGGACATTATGCTAAGTGAAATAAGCCAGTCACAAAAGGGCAAACACTGTATGATTCCACTCATATGAGATACCAGGAATAATCAATTCATAGAGAAGGAAGTAGGATGGTTGTAGAAGCTGGAGGGGCAGGAGGAATGGGTACTGTTTAATGGGTACAGAATTTCAGTTTGGGAAGATGAAAAAAGTTCTAAGGATGGATGGTCATGATGGTTGCATGACAAAGTGAATGCATTTAATGCCTCTGAACTGTCCACTTAAAAATGGTTAAAATGGAGTCCCCCAATGGCCGAGTGGTTAAGTTCCTGCACTCCACTTCAGCAGTCAGGGATTCACAGGTTCAAATCCTGGGCACGAACATACACACTGCTCATGAAGACATGCTGTGGTGGCGTCCCACATAGAAGAACTAGAATGACCCACAACTAGCAGATGCAACTATATACTGGGGCTTTGGGGAGGAAAAAAAAAAGAGGAAGATTGGCAACAGATGCTATCTCAGGGCCAGTCTTCCTGACCAAAAAGCATTAAAAAAAAGTTAAAATGGCTCTTTAGCTCAGGCCCATGGTGCCAGGAGAAGGGGCAAGTGTCGTGGTCTTCATACCGTCAGGAAGCTCTGTAGCCCCTGACAGGATCAGAAGTGGCATGATGAACAGTACAGGAAAACCCATCTGGGCCCAACCCTGAAAGCCAACCCTTTCAGAGGTGCTTCCCATGCAAAGGGAATTGTGCTAGAAAAAATATGGCTTGAAGCCAAACATCCCAATTTTGCCACCCAGAAGCGTGTCAGGGTACAGCTGATCAAGAACGGCAAAAAAATCACAGCCTTTGTGCCCAATGATGGTTGCTTGAATTTTATTGAGGAAAACGATGAAGTTCTGGTTGCTGGACGTGGTCACAAAGGTCACGCTGTTGGTGCCATTCCTGGAGGCCTCTTCAAGGTTGTCAGACCTTGAAAGACCAAGATCATCAGTTTTGATGGTGAAAACATGCTAGAAATAAATTTTCACATGCCCCCCAAAAATGGTTAATATGGTCAACTTTTATGTTGTGTATATTTTACCATGATAAAAACAAAAAGGCCTAACGAAATGAAAATGAATATAGAGTGGCAATGTCAGGTTGCTATAAAATTTTCTAAATGCTTGCTCTCAATTTTTGTGCTTGTCTTATGAGGGTTCATAACAGACCACTTACATACTGTCTCTAGTCTGTGGATGGCACCGTGAGTGGCATTTTTCCAGGGTTAACCCTAAGAACAGATAAACTGACATGCAGCCTGGGCACACATGCACCTTTACGAGATTGTCCTAAATTGTTTTCTAAAGAGGGAAGCAATTCGCACTCCCATACGCAGGTGTATTAAAAGCTTCCTGTGCACCTCATCCTTGCCAATACTTAGTCTTGTCAGAATTCTTAGTGTTTGCCAATCTGGTGAGTATAAAATAGTATCTCATTGCGGTCTTTCTTTGCATTTTCCTGATTGTTAATAAATTCAAGCATCTTTTGGGTGTGTGTGTTTGAGGAAGATTGGCCCGGAGCTAACATCTGTTGCCAATCTTCCTCTTTTTTGCTTGAAGAAGATTGTCGCTGAGCTAACATCTGTGCCAATCTTCCTCTGTTTTATGTGGGATGCCACCACAGCATGGCTTGACGAGCAGTGCTAGGTCTGCACCTGGGATCTGGACCCACAAATCCCAGGCCATGGAAGTGGAGCATGCAAACTTAACCACTGAGCCACCGGGCCACTGGGCTGGCCCTAGAGCATCTTTTTATATGTTTGTTGATGAGCTATGTTTCTTTTCTTTTTGAAATGCCTGTTTAAGGTTTTTGCTCATTTTTCTATTGGGTTGATGGTGTTTTTATTATTGATTTGTAGGAATTTAGTCAATAAATATGTACTGTGCACCTGCCATGTGTCAGGCACTCTTCTCTGTGCAGGGAATACAGCAGTAAACAAGACGGACCAAAATTCCAGGTCTCATTTCAGAGTGTATAGTCTGCTGAGGAGAGGGGCTGGCAGGAATCAAATCATGCAGTTACATATATAGAATGTATGGTAATGATAAATGTTGAGGCTAAAAATAGGGCAGGAAAGGCAATAGGCAGGGCAGGGAGTGGTGGTGAGCTTGCAGTTTTTGAAAGAGTGGTCAGGGAAGGTTTCATTAAAAACATAACATTTGAGCAAAGGTTCTGAAGGACACAAGGACATGAGCAGGCAGACAGTTGAAGGAAAAGTTTCTTGTATATTCATTTGTCAGTTATATGCCTTACAGACATCCTCCCCAATTTGTGGCTTGCCTTCTCACTTTCTTTAAGATATATTTTGATGAAAGAAGTTCTTATTTTTAACATAGTCTAATGTATCAGTCTTTTATTTTGTGGTTTGTACATTTTGTACCTTGTATAAGAAATCTTTCTCCTGATATCATAAAGAAATTCTTCTAAAAATTCTAAAGTGTTGCCTTGTACATTTTGCTTTTAATTCACACAAAATTTACTTTAGGATATGGTGTGAGGTAGGGATCCATCTTTAATTTTTCCCCATGTGAGTAACAAATTGTGGGCACCATTGATTGAATAATCTATCCTTTCTCTGGTGGTGCCATCTCTATCATAAACCAGGTTTCCATATACATGTAGGTCTGCTTTGGGGCATTCTGTTCAATTCTATTGGTCCATTTGTCTGGCCTGTACCTTTATCACATGATATTACATACTATAGCTTTATATTATGTTTTTATATATAATAGAGAAGGTCCTTCTACCTCATTCTTTCTTTCAGGAATGTCTTGGCTACTCTTAGGACTCTGCCCTTTCCATATAAATTTTAGAATAACTTGTCAAGTTACTTGAAAAGCCCTCTTGACATAAGGACTTGAGTTCACTCTATAAATATATTTGAAGAGCACTGACATTAGTCCCATATTATGACTTTTTATCCATGAACATGGCTCATCTCCCCATTTACTTAAGACTTATGTACTGTCTTTCAATAAAGTTAAATTTTTTCTGTATAAAAGTCTTACATCTTACACATATTACATCATGTTTATTCCTAAATACCTTAATTTTGGTTGCTATTGTAATTGGAGTCTTTCAAAATTATGATTTCTAACTGTTTATTGGTGGATTATAGAAATGCAATCAATTTATATTATTCACTCACCTTGTTAAACTTAAAAATTAATTCCAGCAATTTTCTCATAAAGTTTTTTGTGTTTTCTAAGTAAACAACTATATTATTTATAGTGATGTCAGTCTTGTTTCTCCCTTTCTAAAACTGATACGTTTTATTTCTTTTCTTTTGTTATTGTGCTGCCTAGGACCTCAAGTACAATGCTGGGAAGAAGAGTTGACCCAGACATTTTTGCCTTGCTCCTGATTTCAAAAGGGATATTTCAAACATTTCACCTTGAAGAATGATATTTGCTGTAATTATTTGGTAAAAACTCTTTATCAGGTAGGAAATTTCATTATGAATTGGTGGTAAATTTGAGCAAATGCTTTTTTCTACAATTGTTTAGATAATCATCCATTTTTTCTCCTTTATCCACTACTGTGGTGAATTGCATTAATATCTTTTCTAATGTTATATCACTCTTGCATTCCTAGGATCAACACAACTTGATCACGATGCATTATCTTTTTTATACACTGATGAATTCAATTCCTAGGATTTTTGCATCTAGGTGAATGAATGAGATTGGCCTCTAATTTTCTTGACCAATTTAATTTCTTTACATTCCTCCAACAGATTTGTCACTGTGGCTAAGCGCAGGTCAGTTATCTTCAATTTAGAAGATCCTTCTTACCTCTGCTGGCCACCAAATGGCCCTTCGATTCTGGCCTTCCCTCCTAACAGTGATGTACTGACGCCTGGGTACCAGGTACAGCGCCTGGAGGTCAACAGTAGGCCTGAAGAAGCCCAGCCATTGGAGGTCTAGCTGGTTGTCAATCCACATCCCTTTTCTCCCACTCAAAACTCACTTTGTCTAAAACACTCTTCCTGATTACCAGCCTGTGATCCACCCTGAGTGCGGGGACCACATCTTTTCATCTCTCTATCCCCAGGGCCCAGCCCAAAGCCTGCACAGAGAAGTTGCTCAAAAATGCTTGTGAAACTGAGTTTGCCCAACCCAATTCTGAGCTCTTTCTTGGCTCAGTTGATCCTGATTTTTAAAGTCGTTTCTCCAAAACGCTCTTGAGCCTTTTTTTGTATGCGGCACATGCATCTGCTGTGTCTCACAAGACAGACAGTGGTTGCTTTGCAGATAAGAACTGTGTCTACGGAGGAGTTTCTTTTGACTTTCCAATTTCAGAGGCTGTCCGACACTAGCCCAAAGCCCCTTCAGCGTCTTGTCCATCTGTGTTCTCATCCACACTCCTACTCACAAGTTGGAAACTCTAGGTAAGCCTCACTCTTCAAGGTTTCCAGGAGGCCACACTGCGCCGTGCTTTTATGCCATACCTTTGCTCGTAGCATGCCCTCTGCAACCCTCTTCTCATGAACGCCCTCTCTGTTTTTCACATGGTACCCAACTGTCAAATCCTTGGTGAAGCCACCCTTACTCTCTTCCTTCCCGTCCACATCCCTTGGGGGTCACTCTTTCCTCCTCTGTGCTCTTCAGATGTTGTATACGTGCCTTTTTAATTTTTATTTAATTACTTTTAACTGAGGCAACGTTGGTTTATAACCTCATACAAATTTCAGGTGTACCTCTTTCTATTTCAATTTCTGTGTAGACTACCGTGCCTTTTTAAAAAAACCTTTTTTTTTAACCCCCAAATGCTTCACTATCTATTTCCTAAAATCAGGACAATTCTCTTACAGAGCTACAGTACTGTTGTCAAAATCAGGCTATTTAACATGCATACAAATACATTTTCTAATCTACACTTCATTTTAAAATTTTACCCATCATTCCTTTTTTTAACTGGATCGTTAACAATTGTCACGTAGTTTTATAGATGTTTACATTTCTCTGCCTCCCGTATGCTTGCACGCACACAATGCCCCTAAGAGTCTGGGCTTGTATCTTTTATCCGCAATTCCAGCAAGGTGCCTTGTCAGTGAGTTTGTCTTCTGTGTGGTGTGCACGCGTGTCTGTGTTTAATTAACGCGGTTATATGGCTCGTCTTCAGTTCCTCTGTCTTCCCAGCGTGGCCCTCCCTTCCTCCCCCTGCATCATGCTCCGTCATTCTGGGGACCCACGCCCTCCCTCTCTCGCTAAACCCTTGCACTAACCTCATTTCTGAGCCTTCATTCATACGATGTAGTCAGTGACTCGTGGCGGCTTGTGGTGTCCCTCTTCCCAGGGATAGACACTGAGGGATATAAAAAATGAATGCTACGCCCCTCCTGTCCTCCAGGGCCTCCACTTCTCATGTTCTGTGTGTTTTCTTTTCTCGCCCAAACGCCAGCACCACCTGTGCCCACTGTCTGTGCTCGATGACCGCTGGTTCGGTGAATGAATGCAAGCACAAAACGGTGGCCCTCGAGATGAAGAGCCCAGGGTTCGACCACTCTCCAGTCGGGCCACTTGGCCACATAATCAATCACTGGACACTATGTTCCAAACCAGGGGTATTATATTACTTTATCCCTTTGGCTTATTTAAAGCTAACAGGCCGTTCTGAGAAGCACTTCCGACTAAAAACTTGGGCTGCCCGTTTTATGAGGGAAAAACATCCCTAAGAGACTGAGGAGAGAAATTGAAAAAGGACTGAAACACACCTCATGGGGGTTATCACGATTTTAAAATGCTTGACTTTCTAACTGGCGTCATTTATCCCTTAAATGCTCGGAGCTCCATGGGGAGAAAATTCTACAGAATTGGTAGATTCCCTGCCCTCAGTAAGCTTATCATTTATGCCGTATACTTTATGTGGCTCCTGGCTGCCCTGGTGTCCCGTTTGATTGAGCCTTCCTAGGCCCCGCATTGTTCTCATGTCTATTTAATTGCACTGCCGATCATTAACCCATGTGGAGCGCCAGAAATATGCAAGACAATGGAAGTAACTCGCAATTAGCTCCCAGAGGGCTTATAATACAAGCTCAACCAGGTTTCTGTGTTCTCCCATCTCTCTGTTGCTTTTTGCTTTTTCCTCCGTGTTCAGTGTGTTCACAAGAAGGAGCCACCCTTCACCCGCTCCCTTCAAATCTCAAAGTACCAGACGCTTCCCAAACCCACAATGGGACCTCTGGCCTCAGTCCCACCTGTCCCCTTCTCGTCAGCGAGGCATTTCAGGACCAGAACCCATTCTTCACAGGTTGGACCAAGTGTTTTGATGGATCCCAGTGGAAAGTGACAGAGACCTTGATCCTATCCTCTTCTGGGCATGAGGGCTCACGGATCCCTAAGGCATTTGCAAGGGTTGCTAAGAAAACCACGCACAGGTGGAAGATGATCCCAGGGGCGGAAGAGGCCAAAACTCTGCCCAAATCTCGCCTTCCTCTGCCGGCCGTGATGGGGTGCGCCTCCTCTGCTGGCAGCTAGTCCTGTGACAGCTGGTTTTGGGTCAAGAAACCTAGGTCTCCCAATCCCCCACAGGGCTCTGAGGAGAGGCCATGAGGGGCTGCTCCGTCGCCAGGATCGCTCTGTCGTGGGACCAGTTTCTTGGGGATAATTAGCACTTCTCTGCCATGGCCCCAAATCAAACCCAGCCGAGATCATGTTACCTTGCGATATGTGTTGACACTGTTTGCCTCCTCAGATTGCCACCCCATCTTCCTAAGGTGGGAGAGAGAGGTGTGGAAGCCGTCAGAGGAGGCAAGGAAAAGGCTCTGGTCACTTGTCACTCTCCCATAGGGCCCAGAGTGGGGCTGTTCCACACGGCACCTTTTCTGATCTTTTGTCCTATCTCGTTGGTGTCTCAAACCCCCTGGGGTTCTGGTCGCTTCCCCCTGGGAGATGATTTTTCCCAGCGAGTCCGCTCATCCCTGACTTCCAGCACTCTCTTAATTCCTAGCATTGTTTCACTTTTAAATGCACATTAACTGGCCCATCTTTCTCTCTGATTCTTTTCACCTTGCTGGTGTTTGCACATGGAATGATCATCCTTGATTTATGAGTTAGCCAAGCTGTGCGTAATTATTTCTTCATCTTTACTCATGAATTCTCCCATCCCTTAATCACTCTTGTTTTCCCCTAAGCTGTCACTTTCTCTACATTTGTCAGGTAATGAGGCAGCTGCCGCCGTGTCCACTTCCTGTTCTGGGGCCTCAGCGTCTGAAGAGGGCAGACAGCGCGCTCAGGACCTGCCCCTGCCCCGGCCCCTTCGTATCACGAATTCGCTCGTCCTGGATGGTTCAGCACTTCACATTTTCAAAATTTCAGCCATTGTGTTTATTGAAAGTGCATCGACCACAAAACACCGCAGTTCACCTCTCTCTCTTTCTCGCTCTCTCTCTCGTGGATGGGAAGATTATTCTGAATCTATGAAGGCATTTATTCACAGTGGCTTCTGAGTCAGGCTCTGCACCTACTTCAATTTTAGATGTTTTTCTGAATCTCCTGTTGTGTGTGGCAGTTCAGGAACAGACACTGTGAGACGGAGAGGGGGACTCTGGATCCGGATTCAGGCAGCCCGGGTTCAAATCCTAGGCTTTCCCCTCCCCGTGCCTAGCTGAGTGACCGTGGGCACGTCATTTCACTTCCAGAAGCCTCGCCTTCGTGGTCCATCAAATGAAATACTATCTCCCTCTCCAGAGTTGTTGTAAGGATGAGCTGAAATGGCGTGTCTGAGCACAGCACAGAGCCGTCTCCCGTTTGTGTACATTTCCTTCAGTTCATGCACGTGGCTTCTTTTCCAGGTGAATTCCAGACTTCGGGAGTTTGTAGACTAGGAAAATCTCAAAACACATTTTGATGAGCATACTTTTGCCAAGTTTTTATTTTGCCAACTTTTAATGTTGCCAAGTAAGAACAGTATTAAAAAAACCAGCACAACTCACCTTCATCCATTTCCACTAAATTTCATAAAAGAATATTTAAAAAAAAATCAAGAGGACATCGTTACGAGTCAAAAATGGATGACGTTTAGCTTTACGAAAACCTCTCTGTATTGCTCTTACTCATCTTATCTTAGAGATGAGTGAACACTTGGTCTGCAGATCAGTATTTGGGAGCCGTCGCTCATCCCGGACTCGCAGGGCTTTCCAGACTAGCGGTTCCCCGCTGTAGACGCCTCACCCCGAGGTGGGGAGGCGGAGGCGGAGGCGGAGGATGAGCGAGCAGCACGTCTTTCGGTGCAAAGCGTAAGGAACTGCTGGGGTGTGATCGCCGAGCCCAGGGACCTCGGGATGTTCAGAGACGAGAGCGGTTGTGAGAAACTGATGTGCACGATATAAAGTATGTGAAGAGAACAGAGGCAGAACATTTCCTGAGTTCCAGGTGGAATACTGGCCGTGTTTGCATTTTGGGTTTTTAAAAAAAGATTGCAAGCAAGCGATCAAAACTTGCCACATCCGTCACTGAAGAGTGTGCGGGCTCGTGACGGTTTCACTCTGACGCAGCTCCCAATTGCCTGCGGTTTTTCAGACACATCCCCCTACAATATCCTTTGGGGTCAAAACATTCCATAGCTGGTCTAAGGGCAGAGGTGAATCGTTTTTGAGAAGTTTGGGCTCACTCTGCTCAGCTGGTTTTGCTTAGGGGAGTGTGGAAAGATCCCTAGGGGTTCTTTTCTAGGAGAAAAAAATTACACACGCACACCACAGACACACACATCATTTGGGGCCTTTTAAAGTCGGGTTAACTCCTACCTGGGGAGGGAACCTCGGCCAGACGGGAAATCTTAGTGGATGACAATTGAACTGCACTGACCCATCTGGTGTCCGGAAGGAGGCGCAGAGCAGGCCTGTGCCAACTCTGGGTCCACGTGGGAGCACGCTGCCCTGTGCTGGGGGCCTGCTCCTGAGCCCCAGGTACTGCTGATTTTGTAGAATAAAAGTCACAAGCACTTACTATGTGTGAGTCCTCTGTGAAGTACCTCGCTTCTATTGTCTTGTCTAACCCTCACATAGCATTTTGGGCCAAGCCCTAATCAGAAGGCCCATTTCACAGATGAGAAAACTGAGGCTTACACAGCATTAGGCAAAGGTGTCCAAAGTCGCACTGCGGCCCGTGAGCGGTAGAGCTGGGACATAAGCGCAGGTCTTTCTGAACAGTAACTACTAGGATGTTTAGCTCCTAAAATCTGAGGTCTGAAATGAGTGGGAAAGGAGCTTGAACCACCCGTCTGAGGTGGCATTTGGAAAAGGAGACCTTGCCCACCACACACACACACGCACAGGCTCTTTAAACTCTCTGAAGCACTCCTAAAACACACAGCGTTTCCCCTCCTCCCTGTAAAAAGGCAACCTAGGAAACTTGCGAGAGAATAATTTAGCAGCGTCTATCCAAAGCCTCAAAATATTTATGCCCTTTGACCCAGAAATTGCCCTGCTAGGAATCTGCGCCGTAACCAGGATGTTCCAGGCTTCTCCGGCCCATGGGTACAAGGGCTGTGCTCAAGCGTCACCTCCTTAGCGGACTGTCTTGCCCCGGCTTTGCCCTCAGTGACTAAAACACCAGCTGACTCACTGAGGGCCCTCCACAAAGGTTCCCGAAGGAACAGATGAGCTTATGTTACATAAATACCTCCAATCTCAAGACTCTGCTCAGGCAGCAGATCGAGTCTTTTACAAATGTCCCCCTCCCTCACGCTGCTCAGGTTCCCTTGAAGTTTCCATAAGGTGGTCCTGCTCATCGCGCAGCACGGCTGCCGGCAGGTAGACGGGGACACTCAGGCATGTCCCTTGAGGCCAGAGTCCACAAAGCCTGGCCTCCCCAGGACCCTCCAAGGAGCCGCTCCTGCGGTGTCACCGGAACCTGCCGTCCTCCCCAGCCCCCAGTGCTGCCTCCTTTTCGAGGTATCCTCTTGCTGCTGGTTGTGCCAGGACTTGGGGCTCCCCCCTCAGCGAGGCGATTTCAAGCCAGCAGGCCACCCCCTACCTGGCGTTTGCACAAACCTCTGCCTGTGAGCGCAGGCAGTGAGGAGGCGCCCCTAGTTTTGCCAGGTTCTGTCAGCGAGGCTTCTGCAGCAAAGCTGCCTGGGTCCCTGCCTGTTCCAGACTTTTCCCTGCACCCCAACAAGCGGACATGTCCCAAGGCATGTCCAGCCTCCAGGCTGGGGGGGACGGCAGGTCCACCCTCAGTGTCTGCAACCTGCATTCTCCCTATCGCAGGCCCTGCAGCTGGGCTGGTTCAGCACGAGGGCTGCCTTCTCTCCTCCAGCGGTGAGGTGAGGCGCAGGGAGGCGCACGTATCAGAATCAGAATGAGAATCTCCGCGCGGCAAGCGTGGGTGACAGAGGCCAACGAGGGCCTGCCTCCTTCCCTGAGGACACCTGCCAAGGGTGAGCCCATGTCTCCCTGCCTATTCTCTCTCCTCGGGGTGCTTTTTCTGCAATCTGGACTCAGTTTTAATGTTGTTTTCTTTTAATCAACTTCATAGAGGTATAATTTACATACAACGAAATGCATCCATTTTAAGCGCGCAAAGACTTTTGACAACTGCATAAACCCATGTCACCACTACTACATTCAAGATACAGAACATTTCCATCACCCCACAAAGCCCCCTTGAGCCCTCTGCCATCAGTCTCCTCCCCCCTCGCACCCCACCCCAGGCACTGGCTTATTTTCTGTCCTTATGACTTAGTTTTGCCTGTTTTGGAACTTCATAGAGATGGAATCATCTTGAATGTACTCTTTTGTGTCTGGGCTCAGTGTATTCTTGAGATGTTTGTATGTTGTTACACATAGCAATAGTTCCTTTCTTCTCATTGCTGAGTAGTATTCCATTGTCTCGTTCTACCACAGCTTGTTTACAGGTTCACCTGTTGCACTGTTTTGGCTTTTATAAATAGAGATGCTATGAATATATTCTCAAAGATGTTCATTGCAGTCTTGTTTAGAAATGGTAAAACAAAACAAAACAAAACAAAGAAACAAAAAACCTGGAAATAATCCAAGTGTCAAAAATTAGTAGACTACCGATCCTAGGACCAGGGCAGGAAATATACAAGATAAGCCTGTAGCATCTTGTAGTGTGAGAAAGTAAGAAAGTGCTCAAAGAAACAAACAAACAAGGATAAACTCACAACCTTACAAGTATGTCAAAAGGATGAGGGAGCCAGATGAAAGAGCTCCCAATGGCGAAACGTGGAACAATTTGAGGAGAAAAATAAACTAGTATTGGGTTACAACCCAAAGTATAAAATAAATATCCACAAGTCCATATTGATATTTGATTGAATAAATTAGACAAATCTCACGTGCAGAAGAATTTCAAATAATTATGTAGGTACTCTGCCCTCACGCAGTGGGGAGCATTACTCCCCACTCCAGAAGTGTGGGCTTCACACAGTGACGTCCTTCCAGAGTACAGTACGGAAAAGGGAAAAGAAAGGGAGACACTTTACAGTGGAGAAATGTGACAGACGCCACCAGCCAGGGAATCAAGGTCAAAATCAACAGTGACGGGTCATGTTGATAGTATGGCCCCTTGATATGATGCGATGAAAATGGCAGTTTACTTCTGTGGTCTTCTTCCCCAAAACGTGTAACCGCAGTCTAATCATGAGAAAATCGTCAGAAATCTCAGTTGAGAGGCATTCTACAGAAGACCTGACAAGTACCCCTCAGAGCTGTCAAGGTCATCAAAACCAAGGGAAGTTAAGAAACCGTCTCAGCCATGAGCAGCCTCAGCAGACACGACAACTAAATGTAATGTGGAATCTCGGATGGAATCCTGGAATAGAAAAAGAGCATTAGGTAAAAACCAAGGAAATTAGAATAAAGTATGGTCTTTTGTTAATAATAATGTATAATATGTTCATTAATTGTAACAAATGTCCCATACTAATGTAAGATGTTAATAAAAGAGGAAACAGGGTGTGAGGTATATGGGAATTCTCTGTCTTATCCATATTCACTGTTTTTCTGTAAATCTAAAACTGTCTAAAATAAAAGGTGTATTTAAATACCCCCCACCCTCAAATAGTGGGCTGCTTAAAAAAATTATAGTGGCTTCATAGATTGGAATGTACTACGCCCTTGAAGCGAATGCGATAGATATTGATGTGTGGATATAGAAAGATATTTTCAAAACATTTTTAGAGTGAAAAAAAAAAGTCAGTAACAGAATAATATGTACGCCACAATCCCATTTTAAAAATACGTATTCTTAAGGGAAAAATGAAGAGGGTTAAATCAGCCTGCTAAGAGAGGTCATCTCTTGGTGGTAGCATTTCCAATTATTTAATTTACTTTTCTTTTTGCTTGCTTGTATTTTCTCATTTGTCTATGATGGCTCAGGGTAAAAATATGACGTGACAGGCAGAATTCTAAACTGACCTCCAGTGACCCTTATATAATCTCCTTCCCTTGAGTGTGGACGGGACATGTGAATATGATGGCTGTCACTCCTTTGAGAGGTTACATTATATGGCAAAAGTGAGGGAATTTTTCCAGATGCAATTGAAGTCCCTTATCAGTTGACTATGAGTTAATCAAATGAAAGATTATCCTAGGTGGGCCTGACCTAAGCAGGTGAGCCCTTTAAAAGAAGCCTTAGACCTTTGCTGAGAACAAAGACGCTTCTGGTCTTGAAGAAGCAAGCCGCAGAGAAGAGAATTCTGCCAACAGCCACGCAAGCTTGCAAGAGGACCCTGAGCCTCAGATGAGACCCCAGCCCTGGCTCTACAGCCTTGTGAGACCCTGAGCAGAGGACACAGCTAAAACGTGCCCAGACTCCTGACCCACAGAATCTTCGAGAACATAAACGGGTATTGTTTAAGCCACTAAGTCTGTGGTAATTTGTCATGCAGCAATAGAAAACCAATAGAGATGATAAAAAATAATAATCAATGAAGGAACAGGCAATTTAGAACAAATAGAATGATATAGCTTCATTTCAAAAAAAAAAAAAAACAATGCCATTTTTATCCAGCAAACATTTTGGGCCTGTTTGCTGGGTTCTTGCCACTCACAGTGTTCACGGCTTCTAACTCCAAAGTCTTTCAAACAATATTGGTAAAGTTGTTTGTATTTTCTGCCAATGCGTGAATGATACCAAGTGCTATACGTAAGAGGACAAATACTCTTAAACTATATGCAGCTGTCACCGAGTAAAGGCAGCGAACAGGAAGTAACTCAGCCGTCAAGGATGGAGGCAGACAAAGCTATTCGAAAGTCGGCTCCTTTTCCCCTCCAAAATGGAAAAATCTCTATCATTCCACTAATACAGCATCATTATTTTAAAAATCTAACAATATAGACAAAATGAAAGAACACCCTTGTAAGAAAGTCAGTTTTGAGATTGAGAAATCTTTGAGAGGAGGAACTATTTTATGTGCGTGAAAGAGGCGAAAGGAACGTTTCAAGTCCCTGCACGGGGCGGGGCCGTGCCTCCCCGGCGGCCCCCATGCGGCTGCCGTCGCTGTCATCGTTATCAAACATGCACACAAGTCCTTTTACATCCCGAATGTTGTCTTGTTTGTCAAGGGCCTGGAGGGAAGAGATGGGAGTGTGAGAGGAACGAAGTGAGAAGCGGGGGGTCCCGTGAGGCTCCTGTCGCCGCATCACGTCCATCTGAGCTTTCCCTGTTCAGGGCAGGCCGGCCACCGGGCTGGTCCAGGCTGGGCCGCTGCCGTGGTAGAGTCATCAAACTGCTCGAGGGGCCTTTTGACCTTGGAAGGAGCAGAAAAGGATGCTACCTCGGAGGAGTGATTTAAAAGTTAGGGATAAAACTCTGGGCCCCAAATTATTTCAGTGACTACCTTTCACGTGCTAATTCACGGTTAAAGATTCATTTGGGGGAATGTTGAAGGCTTTTCTGTGTTCAAGAAGTCCAGAAGATAAACATACAAACACATAGATACGAGAACAGATTGGTGGTTTCCACAGGGGAGGGGGGCAACG